AAAAAAAAAAAAAAAAACAAAATAAGCAGGAGAAAAAAGATGAGGAAAAAACCTTGGCAGCAAAGTTTTATTATTCATTCATTTCTTTATTTAATATTTTACTTTTAAGTAGAATATTATTCATAACACATTGAATGAAAAAAAAAAAGCTAATAGGAAACGGGAAACCCACAAAGGGAGCGGCATTAGGGTTCCATGTGGTTCCTCTGCCATAAGGTCAATTTAGTCACATGCTAAATGTAACTCAGCACCTAATCTTCAGGGTCAAACGCTATACAACAAATTCCCAGAACCAGAAAGTCCCAGAACACCTGCCAGAAACTGGTTTCCGCACATAACTTTCAGATGGGTTCCTGGCCTTATGCTCTGCGGGGAAACTGTCACAACACTTTCTGAGGTCTATGATGTGAGGTAGAAGAATACGTAGGAAAATAAGGGGAGCAACAAGAAAAACCAAACTCAAAAAGTAAAGGAACGAGGCCGGGTGCAGTGGCTCATGCCTGTAATCCCAGAACTTTAGGAGGCTGAAGCAGGAGGATCACTTGAGGTCAGGAGTTTGAGACCAGCTTGTCCAACATGGTGAAACCCTTTCTCTACTAAAAATACAAAAATTAGCTGGCTGTGGTGGTGCATGCCTGTAATCCCGGCTACTCAGGAGGCTGAGGCAAGAGAATCCCTTGAATCCTGGAGGCAGAGGCTGCAGTGAGTTGAGATTGCACCACTGTACTCCAGCCTGGGTAAAGGGAGAGACTGTCTAAAAAAAAAAAAAAAAATTAAAGGAACAAAACCCTCTAACTGTGGTTTGATATCTCTGGATTTGTGGGCAAGGCACTGTGTGAAAATCCTGGAAGACCCGAAGTGTCTGCTAGAGCAATGCTGGCCACCGATGGAACACAATGTCATCGATGGAACACAATGTCATCGCCAAGGACACAGCTTGGAACCCAGGGACAGGCGCTGCTCCTGTTTCTATCCTGCTGCCTGTATGGCTACATTTCTCTGGGAGCAGTGGCCTTGCGGCAGGTGGAGGCCCCCTCCTGGGACCCCAGGTTCCCCGAGGCACAGCCAAGCAGTTCCTCCTTCCCCTTAGCCATTCCTGGCTGGGGCTGCTGGCTGCACCGACACACATCTCCTGGGGGAGCCATGGGCGCAGGGGATGGTCTCTGCAGGCTTTAATGCAGGGTTAGTAAGTATCTGCAATCTTGGAGCCTCAAGGAAAGGGCTAACGCAGGAGCTGGAAGCCCCAGCCCACAGGATTGTGGAAACACCTACATACCTTTCAGGCGGTCTTCTTTGGTGATAATTTTGAAAATGTATTTGGTTTCTTGTAGAAGGATTCCTGTAATACCCACATAAGAGGGGCATTTGGATTTTGTCACTGCAAAGGAAAAGGACAGTTCCAGGCTCAGGCCTCTATGGTGCTGGGGGAACCACAGACAAGCAGCAGGCTTCAGGGGTCAGGGGTGCTGGTCCTACCCTCTTAGCTAGCAGACGAAGGAAGAGAGCACACAGGGCGTGGGGCCTCAACCATGAGCACTGCCTGAGCCGACGAGAACCCAGGCTTCCCCTGGGGCTTTGCAGCCTCTGGACTGTTCCTATGAGGTATCCTTCGGAGGTCTGTGGCTGTAGGGGTCTTGGGCAGGATTCTGGAGTCAAAGGTGACACACGTGCCCTGCACCATCAAGGCCCATGGGCTGGCTGCTCTGATGAACGTGAGTCCTGCTGCAGAGCCGCCCAGCAGCCAGCACTGCGACACGAGCCACCATCACAAGCAGCAGCCCCTCCCTCGTCTTGACCCGAGACTTGGTGTAGCCGACAGATAGTCACTGAGCAGCTGCAGTGTGCCTGCTCTGTCCTTGGGAGATGCCAGGGAGACAGCTGGAAAGAGGCAGTCCTGGATCCTGCTCTCATGGAGCCCAGGTTCTAGCAAGGCAGGGTGACGCGTGGTGAACCACACCATTCTACTTTCTGACAGCGGTGAGTAGGGACAGGGCAATGAGTGCAGAGGGCCATGTTTTGCCATGGTAGACCCTCGGGGAGTGGCACTGGAGCAGGGCTGAACAATGAGAAGCTGGTCTGTGCACACACAGAACTCCCGGGCAGAGGGAAGGAGCAGAGGCAAAGCCCTGAGGCAGGGCAGGAGGCCTGCTGCCCCAGGGATCTGGAGGCACGTTTACTCCCATCTGATGGGAAGCTGCCGAAGACTTGAAGCAGGGAAGGAACGCGCTCTGATCTCTATATAACAGGCACTCTGGCTGCCTGTGTCTGAGGTAATCCAGGGAGATGACAGTGGCTGAGTTTAGGTAGTAGGATGTTCCACAGGATCAGAGGAGGGGATGAGGGAAGAAGAAACACAGACACTGTTTAGGTTTTTGGCCCGAACAACCAGGGTAGATAACTGAGTAATTAACTGAGATAGAAAAGAGCGGGAGGGGTTGCTGTGAGAGGAATCGGGAGTGGCTTTGGCTCTGTAGAGACTGAGATGCCCCCTGAACATCCAGGTGGCTAAGTGGGCAGCTGGATACCTGAGCCTGGAGTTCAGGGGACAGGCCTACGCTGGAGATGTCACCTTGGGGGCTATCAGGCGTAGGTGACATTTGGAATCATAGCACTGGATGAAAGGGATTCTGTAAAGATTCCTGGCCATGGGTGAGTGCCAACAGCCACTGTGCCCCTTAGGGTACCAACAGGGGTCCCTGTGTGGAAAAGGTACACAGAGACCACTTCGGATGTGTCAAGCAAAGGGCCAGACTGGCTAAGACAGCCGGCAAGAAGCATCTCCTACCCTGAATGTGGGGATGATGGTGACCAGGGGCCATCTCAGGGAATCCACGCAGTTAAGGAGTGTGTCCAACAGAACGCAAGCCCTGGGTCTCCACAGAGTGATGGTGTGAACCTCTGGATAGCCATGTGCTACGCACTCTTAGGTAAATTACCTGAAATAATGGCCCCGTGAAGATCTGCCTTTAACAGCTTGGCCTGAATCATCTGTGGCTGCCTGCAAGGTAAACAGAAGCCCTTGGTTTACATCATCATAAAAAGTTCCGAAAGAAGCAACTAGGTCTTCAGCCTTCTGCGGCCAGGCAATGCCAAGGCTGGCTCCTGAAAATGCATTTACAATGATCAGAGACTTGGGATCTACCCCAAAGAGAAAAGCTTCAGGAATGCAACTTACGTGTCTGGCTTAAGCCCATTGCACAGGTCCCTGATATACTGTTTCCAGAGTTCATGGAGGGGGAGAAAAAGACTGTATCTGCGGCAAAGTCAGAAACACGAAAAAGTTAGACCACATGAGCTTGGGATGACAATGTTCAAACAGCACAGAGCTTGGCTTGATGCCAACAACTGTGACCTGGGCTCATTAGGAACTAAATGCAAATCCTAGGATCAAGAACTGAGCTGATAAGGGAGATCAAGAAGCTTCACCGCTCTAACCTCCGTTTCCTCACTGGTGGAAGCACACCAGCCAGGGTGGTGTCCACCTGGAGTTCTTTCCATGACAGAGAAATAAACATGAGGCTCATTGAAGCTACTGTGATTTTGAGGTTTTCTGTTACGTGAAATTGAACTTAGTAAGCCCTCAATAAGGCAGTGGTTGCTGGTTGTCACGCAGGTCCTCATGTGAGGCAGCAGGCTGGTCTGGAAGGTGAGCATGCAAGTGGTGGGGAGCAGGGGAGAGGACCCCAACAGCTTTCCTCTGGGCCATTATCTCTAGTCTCGATGCCTTGTGGGGAATCCATTTTCATGAAGGCTTAGGATAGAGAAACAAGGACCTCAAGCTCAAATCCAACCAGAGCTCCACCCGGGAGGCAAACCCTGGGAGGAGCAGCCCCTCCTCCGCCTGATCTCCTGAGTGGAGCTGGGGACAGCATGACATACTTTAAGTGTCTTCTGGAGCGTGGGAGGCTATTTGGCTGTAGATCTCCAAGCAAAAGCCTACAGACAGCCCCAAGACACACACACTCAGACCCATCACCAAGGAGGGATGGAGCGTCGGCTGGAGGAAGACATCCTCCCACAGGACAGGACAGTGACACATTCCTTTTGGAAACTTCTGAAACATGTAGGCAGCATCTTGCTTTGGCAGTGAAACCCGAGTGGTTGACTGTCTAGCACTATTAAAAGCTACAAAGCGATATACATTAATATCAGTTCCTCTTTTCTGTCTAACAAAGCTCAGGGACAAACAGCCTGTTGCCACGGGCAACAGATGTACTTGCACAGGTCTCACTCCTGAAGGTGAGGACAGGGGCCAATGAGTCCTGCCTCACCCACCTAGCTGAACCCAGCCCAGATTGGTGAAGGAAGACTGCCCTCTTGTGGCAGACAACAGAGAGGCACCCTTAGCTTAGGTGGAGCCAGGCTGCCTCCCCAGCTACCCAGCCAAGTCCACACCCGGAAGGGTAGGCATGGTGGGCAGAAAAGCGTGGGGGGCTCGGCTTACCTCTGCTGCTCTGGTTTAATGTCAAAGAGCCGCAGCTCCCTCCTCTGCCTGGCAGAGAGGCCTTTGGCTTTCTGCTTCCTCTCCTTGCGCTTGCGGCGGGTGAAGTACTCCAGGACCACGGCCTTGCGCTGCAGCTGGTCCTCACGGGCCTGCGGGCTCATGCGAGGTGTGCTGCGCTTCAGGAAGGCCCTCACAAAGGCCTCGGCCCGCTGTGCTCCTGTAGGCTGCAGGTGCACAAGGGGGTGTGGCACTCACTGCTCTGGTCTGGGCAGTAAAGGATCCCAGGCATCCCGCCCACCACCCCCTGCAGCTACTGCCAGAGCAGATGTAGCCCACTCCTCTACCCACTGAGGCTCACACCCTGCTCACCTGCCATGCGTCTGCTACCCACAGCTGCTGAGATGTAAGTCACACTCACACGCCAATTAATGACCCTTTGTCACACACGGCAGCCATGTCAAACGCTCACTTCCTGCTCTGGCCCTGCTTTTCTGAGGTTACTCTGATGAGGACCCAAACCTTTCTATCCGGAAGAAGACTTCTCTCATCCTTGGCAGAAAAGAAAACTTAGAAATGTGTAACAAAGATATTCGACCAGGCATGACCAGATGAAAGTGAGCTTAGAGCAGCACTCAGCTACAGAGGAAGGGATCCTAACACTACAGAAAACAGCAAAACTAGGCTCCAGGGTTGGCCGAGCCTCAGGGGGTAGGGACCTTGACACTGCGTCCTCGGGATAATACTCCTTAACTGGGTTTCCAGCTCTGTGGGCACGGCGTGGCCCCTCTTTAAGATGTCCGCTCCCGCAGACCATCACGTGGAGAAAGGCACCATCAAGAGCAGCTCAGGCCCCATGCTCACTCGCCCCAATGGGCGTCACTGAGAGCAGGGTGTCAGTTTACCATAAGTGAGCACAGGCTCTTAGGGAGGGCTTCTGGGAAAAATGACTGTCATAATTGAGTGGAATTCTCAAAAACAAAACAAAACAAAAAACCTTCCAAGCTCACCACTACCTCTCAAGTTGGAGTTCCAATAATGGATTCTTGTTTGGCAGTGGATGCCACTGCCCTCATGCCCACCACAGCCCTGGGCAGTACTCTCTCCTCAGGGCCTGTCCGCTGGCTGGGCCGTTTCCTGAGCTCTTTTTGCACCAGCTAGGTGGTAAATGTTAAGACTGAGGCTGACACACTGATGCTGATCTGTCATTAGTAACCCGGCCCTCCATCTACGGGAAAGCAACGGGGATGGGAAGATAGGGTACACATAGCCTTTGAGGGCGCTCACCGTATGATGGCAGAAACTCTGTCTGCTTCACTTTGCACCTATAGATGCTAACTAAAAATTAATTCACGCCGGGCGCGGTGGCTCAAGCCTGTAATCCCAGCACTTTGGGAGGCCGAGGCGGGTGGATCACGAGGTCAAGAGATCGAGACCATCCTGGTCAACATGGTGAAACCCCGTCTCTACTAAAAATACAAAAAATTAGCTGGGCATGGTGGCGCGTGCTTGTAATCCCAGCTACTCAGGAGGCTGAGGCAGGAGAATTGCGTGAACCCAGGAGGCGGAGGTTGCGGTGAGCCGAGATCGCGCCATTGCACTCCAGCCTGGGTAACAAGAGCGAAACTCCGTCTCAAAAAAAAAAAAAAAAAAAAAAAAAAAAAAAAAAAAATAAAAAAAAAAAAAAAAAAAAAAAAAAAAAAAAAAAATTAATTCACTCTCGTCATTGTTACTATAACAGGACAATGATCTGATTCTCTTAAATACCTGAGTGGCTCTGCTTTCATGGAGAAGCAAAACAAAGGTATACTGGTCTTTCAAAATCTTGCTTTCAAGGTAACGCTCTCATATGAGCCACAAGAGGAACTTTTGCAAAACTGACAAAGCAGGATGAGGCATCTAGATATAATCTGGAAATTTCACTTATGATATGTGATTGCACGCCTTCTTCGGAAGTGCAGAGGGTACGGCGACAAGGTCGAACGATGCTTCCCAGCAGGTGGGCACAGGCTGGAGTCCCCAACACAGTGGGAGAGGATAAAAGGTTAAGAAAAGCCTCATTTTACCAAACTTGACTTTGGCACAAGAGAAGAGGAGGCCGGCACGTGGAAACAGGCCATCAGAACTACAGACTTTGATCCCTCCTTAGATGTCTGCCAGCAAAATGAGGAGCACCATGTGGGAAAGGACATCTCAACCAGTGCTGTGGGCTCAGAGGCTACCGAGCCATCTTTGCTATCACCTCTGTTGCTCCTAGACCTCCTGCCAAGAACTGACCTGGACATCGGCGTCTTTCGCCTCTTTCTGAGACAATGCATGGTAGATCTCACCTGGGGAATTCAAAAACAGAAATGATTAATTCTTGTTGGGTATTGCTGACCTAAGATTTTTCTAACTGTGAAAATAACTACGCCACTGGGTGCAGTGGCTCATGCCTGTAATCCCAGCACTTTGGGAAGCTGAGGCAGGCAGATCACCTGAGGTCACGAGTTCGAGACCAGCCTGGTGGTTTCACCAACATGGTGAAACCCTGTCTCTACTAAAATTACAAAAATTAGTTGGGGATGGTGGCACGTGCCTGTAATTCCATCTACATGGGAGACTGAGGCAGGAGCATCACTGGAACCCAGAAGGTGGAGGCTGCAATGAGCTGAGATCATGCCACTGAACTCCAGCCCGGGGAACAGAGCGAGACTCCATCTCAAAAAGAAGAAAATAACATAGCTTATAGCCTAGCAGAACAACTGCTTATTCAGAGATAGGTGAAGATGGGGTTGGTATGAAGAGCAAAGCTGTCTTGGATGCCTCTTATCCCACCCTCTGGCCACATCTATGCTAGAAGTTCCAAGCACGTGGTTTAAAAGGAGTACTTCTCAAAATTTAACGTGTGTAAAAATCTCTGGGATCTTATTAAAATGCAGATTATTGGTCCCCCACCCTAGATCCTGAGTGTCTAACATATTCCCAGATATTCTGCAGGTGAGTGGATCACATTTCGAGTTGCACTGGTTTAAAATATCCCAAGTTAGAAGCTTGAGCACTTGCTAAGTCTAACAAGGTAACTCATTTAAAAGTTATATGATATAGCTGTCTATAGGATGCAGATGGTTAGAAGTAAGTTTTGTTAACTGCAAGATATTTAAAAAGACTTTTTGCTGGGCGTGGTGGCTCACGCCTGTAATCCCAGCACTTTGGGAGGCCGAGGCAGGTGGATCACAAGGTCAAGAGATTGAGACCATACTGGCCAACACAGTGAAACCCCATGTCTACTAAAAATGCAAAACTTAGCTGGGTGCAGTGACGTGTGCCTGTAATCTCAGCTACTTGGGAGGCTGAGGTAGAATTACTTGAACCCAGGACGTGGGGGTTGCAGTGCACCGAGATTGTGCCACTGCACTCCAGCATGGGCGACAGAACATGACTCTGCCTTAAAAAATAAAAGACTCTTCACATTTTATTGTGTATGAAATTATAATGTATCATATAATTGATGGTGTCCTGAACTGATAAAATACAACAGTTCTTTTTTTTTGAGATGGAGTCTTGTTCTGTTGCCCAGCCTGGAGTGCAATGGCATGATCTTGGCTCACTGCAACCTCCACCTCCTGGGTTCAAGCAATTCTCCTGCCTCAGCCTCCTGAATACCTGGGACTACAGGCGTGTGCCACCATGCCTGCCTAATTTTTGTAATTTTTAATAGAGACGGGGTTTCACCATGTTGGCCAGGCCAGTCTCGAACTCCTGGCCTTGTGATCCACTGCCTCCGCCTCCCAAAGTGCTGGGATTACAGGCGTGAGCCACCACGCCTGGCCTAAAAGTTCTTTCTTTAAATTCAAAATATACATAGGTCAGTGGAGTTTCAACTTCTAAAATACATTCCACACTTCTGTTTCTTAATTTATTGAAAGAAGAAACCATGGCACTGCGGACAGAGTAGAGGTGTGAATGGAATAAGAATGGCATGATTAAGGCCTGGTTTATGGGCCAAATAGCTACAAAATGTAATTTACACTACACTCTGTAAATTTCATTCCAGCTTTCTTGTCCTTCCCTATGAATGTTTGATGCAAGGTGGTTACAGGGTTTTTTTTTGACACTGGGTCTCACTCTGTTACCCAGGCTGGAGTGCAATGGCACAATCATAGCTCACTGCAACTCAGACCTCCTGGTTTCAAGTGATCCTCCCACCTCAGTCTCCTGAGTAGCTGGGACTACAGGTGTGTGCCGTCACACCTGGCTAATTTTTCCCCCCCAGTTTTTGTAGAGATGGGGTCTCGCTATGTTGTTGCCCAAGCTGGTCTTCAACTCATGGCCTCAAGTGATCCTCCTGCCTCAGCCTCTCAAAGTGCTGGGGCTACAAGCGTGTCCCACTACACCGGCCAAGTCTGTTTGATCAAGCCAACCAATGTGGTTGCAAGTTTTATATACAGCATCTAGTTCTCCCTCAAATGGAACATGGGGAGTATAAACTGTAGAGAGCAACATGCGGGGCCTGATAACTTTGCTTCACCTGTTACAGGTGCTTAGTAACGGACTTGGAAGTCTTTCTACAACAATACACATCTAACAATTGCTAGACACTCATTACTTGCCAGACACACCTCATTACAAGCTACACATGTTTCGTCATTACTTATGCGCATTAGCAAATTAAAGCTGAGATATGCTGCGACAATCTACTTGATCATACAGGTAGAAAGAGTCAGAGGTGAAAAATCAAAATTCTTATCGGGGGCCCAGTCTCAACGGTGTCTACAAGCCCCTCCTTGGCACATGTCTTCTACCCTTAAGTCCCAAAGCTTTGGGTTAGTGATACCATTCCCCAGCAGCTCTCGGCGCTTTGCGTCAGATAACGGTGCGAAACCAGCTCGCAGAAGGCAGGGTCTTGACCGCGGCCACTCCGGGAGGTAGTGGCCAAGTTGGGCCAAGGCCTAGAACCCTCCTCTAGCATGGCACACCACTGAGCAGCTCCCGGGAGAACCTGCCTCCAGCCCTGACATCCCTCCCTAGCTCAGAGGTCGAGCCAGCCTAACCCGCGCTCTAGCCCTCCGTTTTTCTTATATAGGGTGGGCTCATTCCTGTAGCAGATCTGTTCGGACTCCGCAGCGATAGGTAGCCCAGACCCAATTCACCCACCAGCACCAAGACCCCGAACCTTAGCGGCCCCAACCCTCTCCAACTAGTGGCCCCACTTACTCTTCATTCTTGGACCGCTTCCGGCGCGCTCTGATGACGCACTGGCAGCTGCTGTGGCAGACGCTCGGAGCTAGGAGAAGGCGCTATACGTGACGTCACCGACGCGTGCCCACCTCTGGGGCGCATGCGCCTGGGACCTTCCCTCAGCGGCTGAGAGCTGTGTAGGTGTAGCTGGGCAGTGCGGAGGCGTGGGCTCGCTTCTTGGGGCCTTTGCTGCTTGCGTCTTTTGGGGAACGGGCAGTAGAGTTAGGGTAAAGGCATGTGGAATGCTTGCAAAAGCCCGGAGTAGAGCGAGGTGAGGCAACTTGGAGAGGATTCGAAAGAGGCTGGGGACCTGGGAGGGCGGAAATGGGACGGGGACAGTGGGATGCGGTCTGTGTTGTCCCTAAGCACTCTAAGGGATCAGCCGAGGCAGCTTCTGCTGTGGGCACGGGCACCGAAGCTGGGGCAGCAAGCTTAGGTTCTAGTTGCTAATTAGCTGTGTAACCTCGCTTAGGGCACTTCCCATCTCTGGGCCTCTCTGCCAATCTGTGCTGTGAGTGGGGTCGGCGTCTCAGGTGGTGATGCGCCGCTTGGGTCCTTTGGAAGTTCTCAAAAGCTTTCTTGAGACTTAGAATATTCGTTTTTATTCAATAAAAACAATCACCAATAAGATCAAAGGTGGCTCACACCTTGGGAGGTGCAGGCGGAAAGAACTCTTGACCCCAGGAGTTCAAGGCCAGCCTGGGCAACATAGGGAAACCCCATCTCTACAAAACATGAAAAAACAATTATCCAGGCGTGGTGGTGCGTGCCTGTAGTCTCAACTACTCGGGTGGCTGAGGTGGGAGGATCACTTGAGCGCAAGGAGTTCAGGGCTGCATTGAGCCTGGATGGCGGGATCGCGCTACTGCACTCCAGCCTGGACGACAGAGTCAGACCTGCCTCCAAAAAACAGATACTCCAGGGCCGGGCGCGGTGGCTCAAGCCTGTAATCCCAGCACTGTGGGAGGCCGAGGCGGGTGGATCACGAGGTCAAGAGATCGAGACCATCCTGGTCAACATGGTGAAACCCCGTCTCTACTAAAAATACAAAAAATCAGCTGGGCATGGTGGCACATGCCTGTAATCCCAGCGACTCAGGAGGCTGAGGCAGGAGAATTGCCTGAACCCGGGAGGCGGAGGTTGCGGTGAGCCGAGATCGTGCCATTGCACTCCAGCCTGGGTAACAAGAGCGAAACTCCGTCTCAAAAAAACAAAAACAAAAACAAAAAAACCGATACTCCATTGTTCATTGGAAAGATGCAGGAAGGCCTGGTCTAGACTTCTGAGGAGTGACCCAGTGCTGGGCAGAACTGTGGGGCCCCAATTTCTGCTGAGCACCGGGCCTGTGCTGGGTGGCCGAGAAAAGCAATATGGTCCCTGTATGCTAAGTCAGTGGTTCTCAACTTTGAGTATTGTATACGTTTCTTTACAGGGGATTCTGGGAGTATGTCCAAGGGTTTTTAGCTTGAGAGACACTGGCTTACAATGTCTTTGGTGGTGACCTTGTACCATTTGATTTTAAACATGCAGAAAGACTGCGGGTACTGAAATTGGTTCATCCCAGTGACCCCGAGTGCATTAACTTTATATATATATAATTTGTGTATTAGTTTTTGCATATGTATGCACTTGTGCATTTATTTCGTATGTATAAAAGCTGGAAGAACAACATTTATTTGTTAGTTTGCCGACGTCCTGTTTTCATGAGAACAGTTTGCTGTTTGCTCATATAGCCTCCAGAGGTAAATTGAGTTGGTCACGTCCCACATTCTTTCGGTCTCCAGCATCAATTCCTTTTAGTTTTTGCATTAATACAATAAAGTTAATTCCAGGCTGGACAGCTTTCAATTGCTGGTTGGTGGTAACCTGATCCTACAGACTACCAGGAGAAAACAGAGACATAATAACATTATTTCTATAATAATAAAAGAAACATTGAGGTTATGTTTAAGATAAGAAGGGTTAGGCTAAAAGATAAGGGTTAGGCCGGGTGGGAGGCTCATGCCTATAACCCTAGCACTTTGGGAGGCCCAGGTGGGTGGATCACCTGAGGTCAGGAGTTCAAGACCAGCCTGGTCATCACAGTGAAACTCTATCTTAAAAAAAAAAAAAAGAAGGGTTAAGACTCTCCAAGCGCTGCTAGAATTCTGTCCAAGCTTCTAAAGAGGGCCGATACCCTTGAGTTTGCTTATTTAAGTCAAGGGTTTTACTTTGTAAATCACTGATATCAAAAGTTATATTGGATGTAAAAGCTCCTTGTAAATGAGCCTTTACAAGCTTCCATGGATATTCACTTTGATTGTATTCCAAGTTGATTACACAAATGAGTGTATGGTTAAAATGAAGGCGTAATTGCTGCTACAGCTGCAAACTGTACTTGTTCTCTCAGCCACGAAACAGTAGTCTTTAGCATTGCTGCTTCTGTTTATAATTCGGCATTAATTTTATTTTGGAGCACCCATGCCTGGTTGGCTGTATCTGCCCAATTTTCTACATATTGGGCTGTTTGAATAGAACTATGTAGTGCTACTGAGGACACTATGACAGAAGTTATTAGTGTGACCAAGGAGACTGTAGAAAACGTCACCATGCCTAAGGCTGCACGAGCACGCTGAGTGAGCTGGGTAAGAAGAAATTTCACAAAATGTAAAGCAGAGGTAGCAGCGCATGGTTCAAATTGACAGGGATCCATAATCCAGGAATAAGACCTAGAATTATTAGGGTGGGTATGTTATGTATTTGTATAGTACTATGATTAAGGCAGTGATGTAATTGACACCAGACTTGGGGACTTTTGAGAGGCCTGGAGGCCTTGCCGTCAATTCCCACAACAGTCATGGAGGCCAAGGAGACAGGTTCTTGAAAAGAAGGCAGTGTGGGGTCGGTGGCCCATGTACTGGTTAAGAAGGAGATAGACTTCCCCTCCACTGTAAGAGTTACCCGAAGCTTGGCGTCTGGGATGGTCCAGGGGGCTTCCGAGGGGTTCTGGCAGTGTCAGTCTTCAGCCGCCAAGCCAAGGAGATGTAAAAAGGATTCGGTTCGGGAGCTTTGGGTTGGAGCTCCAGGAGCTCTGGGGGCAGCAACGTGAGTCAGACAGTCCGACTTCCAGTGGGGTCCCCCACAGACAGGACACAGCTTAGAGGGGTCCTTGGGCTGTGAGCATTCATTAGCCCAATGTCCAAGCTTTTGGTATTTGAAGCAGGATGAAGCCCCAGGCTGTGGGCACTCCCTGGCCCAGTGGCCAGTTTTCTGGCATCTGAAGCAAGGCTTTGGGGGAGGAGGTCCTGAAGAAAAGCCTGAATGCTGTGGATTTGGTGGTCTGAAACTTCTGTGAGTGAAGGAATGGCTCAGGTCTGTCTTACAGCAGAGGCAAGCATTTGTAATTCTGAAATACGCTGCCGCTTGGCAACCTCTTCTTGGTTGTTAAACACCTTAAAGGTGAGGTTGATCACTTTCTGTTGCCGGGTTTGAGGGCCAGATTCTGGTTTTTGAAGTTTTTCCCTAATATCAGGGGCAGATTGATATTAGGTGAGCCCACCTGTTATTGCCATTGGGGTTCTTCCCTAGGTACTGCCCTGACGCCCTCTTAGAGGGCTGGCTCATGGCACCTGGCAGGTGTCGGCATAAGACCGAGCCAGAGTATAGACCCTATTTTGTTCATCTGGAGAAAGAGTAGAGGTTAGAGTGACATTTAAGTCATTCCAGGTTAAGTTGTAGAACTCAGTTAGATATTGGAAGTCTTGGATATATTTAGTAGGATCTGATGAAAAGGATCCTAAGCACTGACTAATTTGGGACAGATAGGACAGAGAAAAAGGAACAGGCACTGTGACTGTGCCCTCTGCTCCAGCCACCTCTCGAAGGAGAAACTGTTGGGTGGGGGAGGAAGAGCTAGTGTTAAGGCTGAATTGTGTCCCGGAGTGGGTGTGGGATGGAGAAGTGACAGAGGCATAAGAGGGAGGGGATGGGGCAGTGGGGAGATTAGGGTCTGGTTCAGCCTGACGAGGGGCAGCCTGAGGGGGAAGGAAAAGTTCAGAAGGGTCTATTGAGAGTGAAGAATTTGCATTGGCAGTAGGGACAGGGGGCACAGGTGGGAGGGAAAGAAGGAGAATTTGAAAGGGGTCACATTGCGAGCAGAGGCTGGGAAGGCAGCGAAGTGTGAAAAATGTCTGGACATAGGGGACTTCAGACCATTTGCCCATTTTACAACAAAAGTTGTCTAGATCCTGCAGGATAGAAAAATTGAAGGTATTGTTTTCTGGCCATTTAGAGGCATTGTCTAATTTATATTGTGGCCAAGTGGAATTGCAAAATAAGGCGCTTAGGTTTTAGGTCAGATGATAGCTGGAGAGATTTGAGACTTTTCAGAATGCAGGCTAAGGGAGATGAGGAAGGAATGGAGGGTGCAAGATTGCCCGTAGTTTGAGTGGCAGAGACAAAGAAAGTGAATGTGCGACAAAGAAAGTGAATGTGCGACCAAGCAGCATAGCAGGCGTCCCAGACTAAACCTTGGTCTGAAGCTGGGGCGAATCGGTCAAAGGGGGCATCCCCCATGTTGATCCATCACCTGTGAGTGCAAGTGAGTGACCAGAGCAGATGTTTCCGAATGATCAGTTACCAAGGGAAGACTGTCTTCCCAGTTCCGTGACCTGCGTGGGATTTTTTCCAGTCATGAACTTCACGGAAAATCCTGTCCTTCCTGTCTCCGTTGAAAGGGAGAGGAAGATGAAACTGAAAGGAGGAGGTTGACAGGTATTGAGAAAGGCTAAAGAAGAGAGTGGAGGCAAACCGCTTACTTGATCTGAGGATGGTGAGTGGGTTTGTGGGCGGGTCTGATGAGCCTAGGTCATGAGTAGGTCTCTTCACGGAGGGAGCACAAGAACAGGGATAGGGACAGGGGTTTGGTCTCCTGTAGGAGTTCCCCTGTCCCGGGTTTCGGCACCAAATGCTAAAATGCGCACGCTGAATGAAGAGACCCCCAAACAGGCTTTGTGTGAGCAACATGGCTGCTTATTCATCCGGGTGCGGGTGGGCTGAGGCCAAAAAAGGTGTCAGCGAAGGGCAATGGG